ACAACGGACGCTTCACGATTCGGAATTGGTGCAGTTTTGTCGTATGTTCTTGAGGGTAATATTGAACGCCCAGGTGCTTTCGCTTCGCGTACTTTAACCAAGGCTGAAACAGATTATTCGCAGCAAGATCGGGAAGCATTGGGATTGGTTTTCGGGGTCAAAAAATTCCATTAATTTGGTTATGGAAGACATTTTCTTTTGGAAACAGATCACAGACCATTAACTTTCATTTTCGGGAAGAAAAAGGGATTGCCACAAGTGGCAGCGTCACGTGTACAACGCTGGAGCGTATTTTTGTTGGGGTACGACTATGAAATCAGATTTATTTAGGGGAAGGATAATGGGAGCGCAAATTTCTTATCACGTTACGTCCAACGAACTAAAAATACGGTTGAAAAAGAAGCTGATAATGATTTTACGTATTAAAATTTTGTTACAAATGGAATTAAAGTCATTTCAGTAGAAGTCAAGTTTAGAAAGTAAAACCGACGTTGTAACTCAAAAGGAGATCGTTGAAGAATCGAAATCTGTAAACGGACCTGTTGCGATGCCACAGTCAAATAATGTACATATGTGACATTAATGCGAACACTTCTAATGTTAAGGCGGACGCTTCGCAAAAGCCAGCGTCCACTCTTCCGGCGATTGTTCCACGCCGTTCAATGCGAATTAAGAAAACGCGAGAAATTTTTAGGTTATAAGCCAAATTAAGTGCGGAGGATTGTAGGATATTCACATGTACACAATGTATGGTGGACCGGCGCGTGTTTCATTTGTTGTCCACAGAGACATTTTTGTAGCCGTCCTGCGACAGCAGTCTTCACGCGGCATGGTCCGAATAAAGCGTGCTGCTCTAGACATTACACAAATTGTGAGCAAATACGAGGTGTCTCCTTGCAAAGAAACAATTAGTCCGTTGGCTATGAACCCAAAAGCAATATTTACCACAGCGCTAAATGACATACACTTGTACGTTCGGAAGATTAGTTAGTTCAGTGGCTGCTTAAATCGTCTGTGATATCGATAGTTGTGCAGAATACGAATGCAACAGTTTTCATAAAATGGACAGGTGTCGTAGAAATCGATATTTTTAACAACTTTTTGCTAGAAGCAAGAAAACAATTTAATTCATTTATGAATTCTTCATCTTTATTAAAAGAAACAATGATACTAACCTGTCATGTTATTTATGTAACAACATGTTAAAAATATTGTGTATAGGATAATAATTAGACAAAAATCGAACAATGTAGATATTCTGGAAGTTTATATCATACTAACAACATAGAAGTGTCAGTATTACAATACATCACCATACGCTAGTTTAAAACACCACTTTCACTTAATGTCTGTTATGAACCAAGCATACTTACATTGTTTTTAATTATTTATACATAGTAATTACAATATATTTTATCATCGTCACAGTTGTTTAAGAATTCCCTTTTTTAAATAAATGTTGAGCTTTCCTTCTATGCATATCCTTGGTTACACTTCAGTTATCTAGTTGCAAAAATTAAAAATGTAATATTTAGTTTACTTCCATATTGTGAAAAAACGTAATTAAATTACGAAAGTTGATATGTCGCATTAATGGTTGAGATGGAAATATTGGACTCAGAATGTAAGTTTTCGTAAAATGAAATATTCGTATTTCGCGCAGTACTACATGTTTATTCTTATATTTTATTAATATATCGGTCTGGCTTTGTCGATTTTAAGGAAATGGACCTTCAATTTTACAAATTTTGTATTACATTACCTATCTATGTCAAAAAATATTCTTTACGAAGAATATAAATTAATGAATTATAATACTCTGATCCACAGTCTTTAGTATCTGCTTATTTCATTTAAAAGTCAAGAGTATTTGACCTTTTTTAGATAAGCTTCACCTTATAACTTTATGCTAAATTATCGCATTATCGGTTCCCCTGTACGAAAAATTTATACGTCACTAAATATGCCGTTTAATAAAGAGGGACTTCTTCACTGATGTCAAATCACGCAGTTCGTTAACATACGAACACTGTTCGTGCTCGTGGAACATTGTGCGCAATTTAGTGCTTATAATCAGTGCAACTTTAGAGACTTTCACTTCTGAAGAGTAAATATATTAACCTTAAAAATGATTGTTTATTAAAGAAATTAATATTGTCGATACTATTGCATGTTTCTAACAGTATGTTATTTATCGTGTGTGTAACAGTTTTCTTATAGCAAGTATATTATCAAATTTTCCTTCATTACTCAGAAGAGAAATTCAGGTTTCTTATCATTCTGCCATGCATTGCGCTTACGTTATTTCTTTACGTTGGTTCATAATGCAACAAGCAACATGTCATTGGTGATGCATTTCAAACTGGTTTGACTGTACAGAGGATATACTGTACTTGTAATGGTCACCTTCTTTTCGAAAAACTCGAGATTAACACTTTGAATAATATATATGCATGTATTTCTGACTAATTTTGATAAAGAACGGTGCCATAATTAATATTGAATTACGAATAACGATAATGGACATTTGTTTTGAGAAAAATTATGTCAAAAATATAGAATAAGATCTGCTTCTCTGAAACTACGTCCTCTAAAACATACAATTTCAATATTTAGCACACCCACATGTGATTAATCACAGGCGAAAAATATTCAGATTCAATATTTTAAAAAACAAGACAACCCGTAAATAAGTTGTATTATGCATTGCATAATCTCTTTATTCTTGGCTGTGCACATTTTACTAACTATATTGTATCCAAGTACACGCAACAAATATTCGCACTTATTTTTTTTCAAAAAGACGTTTTTAAATTAGCAAAAAGTTCATGTAGGATCATACTTCCAATACAGAAGTCACCGTTTAGAGGACACTGTGTATAATTGTTTCGTAATTGTCGCACTGTGTTTCTAAGAACCAATTTTCATTACTTATTAAA